TTTTTTTTTTTTTTTTTAAGTACCACATTTGTATAGTACATGCTACAATCAAAATGGCATGGAGTTCTGAAAAATACACGAAGGATGTGATATACTTAAAAATATGGCTAATACGCTTAATGTAGTGACATGGAGCAAAACTTAAACGTGTTACTCTGAGTTTACTGCTTTTCAGGATGGAATCCCGTTTGTTTTTCCTGAATCAAGCCTTGGGGAACTTAGCGAGGTTTCTGAGACTCCCTAATAACCGTGGAGTCCTTGGGGTTCTCTGAGCTTGGTTGTTTGCAAGCCCCATCCCATTCTAGCACTGAAGATGCTACCTAGCGGGGTAATGAAACGTTTGCAAGAAAACCCAGCTCAGAGAACCCCAAGGACTCCACAGTTCAACCCTGAGCTACACATATTCGCTTCTGTTGGTACTCCCTAATAAAGCTAAATCTGCTTAGGTTTGTAACCTAAATCAACATGAAAAAGAATTCCCAGAATTCCTCTTTTATGTTGTTGCCTGGTTGCCTACCAGCACTACAAGTCAATAGGTAATGGATAAGAGGAGATTATAATTGAATCGTGGCTTTTGCTCATGTCCCTGAACACATACACAGCCACAACACAATAGGAGCGATGCAGATACTTGAGCATTTGGAATTAAAAAAAAAAAAAAGTTTGAAGATGTTTATTTAAAAGCATGGGTCCCACCTTTTAAGGTAAGTTTCCCAGATAGCTCTAAATAAGAAATGAGCAGTAATAAAATCTAAAATCAAACAAGTGATAACATTGTTTCCATTTAGCAGTTCCAGCTATGGAGGAGCCTGTTAAATGTATCTTGGCTGAATCATCTCTCAGTACAGAGCTGAGTCGCCAACCTTTCTTCACGTTAATAAACACTGTTAATAACTTCTTCAGCCATATCCAGATATAACACTGGGAGATTTATTCTAGTTTCGAAGCTTAAAAATGGGAGCAAGAGAATTAATCTAAACTCCAGATTGTTATGAAACACTTGAGTCAGCTTTGTCTCTGTTTTTCAAATGGGGATCAAAACACGTATGTGTATGTTATTGTAATTTGTTAAATGCTTTAAAAATCAGCTAAAATTGCAAAATGGAGAAACAAGCAAATGCTTGAGAACCTCTGTTATACTTGAAAAACTGCCTTGTAACGAGCTATAAGTCTAGAACAGAATTTTACTGGTGATGGTTTAATCAGCCATGAAATCTAAAACCCAATTCATTGTTTTAAATGTATTCCAGATGGAAAACAAACTCTGGAGTGTAAGAAAAAAGAAAGAAAAAAGCAAAGGAAGGAATCGTATGGTTCTAATGATTCGACTGATAATTTGATGATGGAAATGCCATTTGCCAAAGCAGATATTGAACCTGAATTTAGCAGTAAGTTTAAGTAGCAATATAGAACTATGAAACTTTGTTAGATATTCACACTGCAGTTAAGTAAACAAGTCCCATTTAGGCAAAATTTCTTCAGATTTTTGTTCTAACCTTTGAAGTTTCAAATGCCAAGTCTTGTCGGTCCTGCCTTTCAAAATACTTAGAAGTTTCAGTTTTCTAAAATATACTTGAATTCTAAGTTAATCAGTAAAAGAATTCTATGAAGCAAAAGCTTTCTGCTTTCTAGTGCTTGCTGGTGCTAACATTTTAAGGAAATGCCACAAAAGGGCAATTACAGTAATGAAAAATGCAGTTAAAACATTTAATAAGGAAAGGTGGGATTGCTTGATTATACATCTGAAACAACTAACTAAAAGATTAAGAGTGGCCAGGGTGTGTGAACATAGGACTAATTAAAGCTTCAGGAGCAGAAGGAAGTCTTAATAGGTACTCTGCAAAGGCCACCTGGACCAAATGGTGCTATAATTTGAGTTTTAAGTTTCAAAACATACACACAGGGTTACATTCACTCTGAAAAAAGGCATGTATTTAAGATACCATAGAAAATACTGGAACACAAGAATTTTAAAGCAACATTGTATGAGTGTCTCATAAAAGAAAAGATGAGTGAGCAAGTGTTCCTTCTGGAGAAAACACTATTTCCTAATCATCTTGAGCCTACTATGTTTTATGTTTTTCAAGCTTTTAAGTTATGGCCCTAATCCTGATAGAAACATTTCAAAGTTTGAATTCTCAGTGCTTTCTTAGCCACGACAAATGTTTGTTCAGGCAGGCAGGACGTTTACCCATCAATGTGTTAAAAGTTGAATTGAAAAACTATTAGCAGAATTAAGCAAACTGGTACTTGCCAGATATTCTGGGTTTTAGTTACTATTAGTTACTGCCAGTGTAGCCAGTGGCAAGGAGTTGTAGCCCAAAACATCTGGAAGCTCCAGGTTTCCAATCCTTAGTAAAATATTTGGATTGGAGCCAGATTTGTACTTAACAGTATGTTGTTGGGTTTTTGGTTTTTTTTAATATTGAAAAAAGAGGGCAGTGTGGACTTTGTTTTTAGTTTCTCCTTCCTCCTGCACTCCTTCGCATTACTTCCCAAGGTGGAGGAACATCTTGAACAGTGTAGGAGGTGGTGCTAGAGATTTGTTTCTGTCTAAGAAAGGATGGAACCTTGCCATTCGGATATGAAAATAAGGATACAGATTATAATGTCTGAATGGCCTTTTGATGTTGTATTTATCAAATGTTATGCATTGTTCTACTTACATATGCTTACAGTGCAATAACTTGTTTTGCTTTCTACCCAGCCTCGAGCAAATCTAAACCATCTGTTAAAAAGAAGAGAAAGAGAATTACTGGAAAGGAGAGTGAAGAAGACAATATAATAAAGAAGAAAAAGGAAAACCAAGACAGACCCAATTACTTCATTTCTGTTCCAATCACAAATCCAAAGGTGGTCTCTAAAGAAGAAAAAGGAAAACCAAGACAGACCCAATTACTTCATTTCTGTTCCAATCACAAATCCAAAGGTGGTCTCTAAAGAAGAAAAAGGAAAACCAAGACAGACCCAATTACTTCATTTCTGTTCCAATCACAAATCCAAAGGTGGTCTCCTTTGCTTTCTTAAAATCTGCTCTTTTAGTGGCCAAAATAGCATGCAGTTAATAAATCACAGTTTAGTCCTAATCACAGTAATTAGTTTCATATTGTTGGCACAGGAATCCCATTGATTTAAAATCATGGTATCTAGAAATGCCTCGCCTATTCTGATTGCAAACAATGACATCTAAGATATATTTGATAAATAAGAGGATGACAGGAACAAGGATAGTAAGAGGCTTGTTTGAAAACAGGAAGATTTTAGACAAATATTCTGCCCAGCTAGCATTTTTTTCTTTCCCTCCAACACAGTATCTGGGTTTGCATAACATGCTTGGTTAAAATGTGGCTGGTTAGTTTGTGCTTAGTGTTAACTTTATCATTTGTTGTGTTATGTAAGCCTAGGCAGTTGAGATGATTCTCACAATCATTATGTGTTGTAAGAATGCAGCTAATAGAAAGGTTCTATTGGGTTGTTTTATCCTGTAGAAAATAGGATGCTGGTGTAAGAAGGCTCTGGTGACACCATGTACTTATCTGGGATATTTCATCTCTTAGCTAGACCTTTCCTTTCAACTCTCGTGATTGTGTAATTTAATAACTAAGATAGTTGGTCTGCATATCTATGTTGCTTTATTTACATTGTGCCTATAACTTCATTTTAAAGCATTTCTTGTTAACATTACCAGGAAGGCATGCTCTGAAGAAAGTTGGAAAGAGTCAGTGATAGGGTTTGTGGATTTTATTTAGGTTCCCCCCCTTATCCCCCCCTTGAAATAATTTAACCACTGCTTTTCTTAAGAGTGTTCACTGAAATGGCAATGCCTATCTTACCTTGAATAATCTTGAAAAGCTAAGCAGGAACAGACTTTGGATGGGAGCTCCCTGGATACATTCAGGGTCACAAGTTAGGTTGTGAAGTTAAAAAAGGCATTCCAGAAAAATATACTGGCAAATCACATCTACATTGTTGTCAGGAAACCATGGAAATGAAACTTGCAAGCATCAAGCTCAGCCCAAAGGAATGGACTTTATGGTGAAATAAATACTTCTATTTGAGCTAGTTCTTTATCAGACTATATGCCATTCTTTGAATTTCTGTCCCCCTTAAATTTGACACTGAACTCACTGCACTCATTCATTGTCATTGGGATACATTAGCCATGAACTGATAGTTCTTGTTAAGCACAGGTTATGGTTTGGTTTTGACAACCTCAGTAATGGCACCCCTTACATATTCATCTGCAGCAGATATGAATAGTTCAAAAAGATAAAGTTGAACATATTCTTACCACATTGTTTTTGCTTTGTTTCTCTGCATAACAAAGTAATAATTTAAAAAGCTCTATTTCCTTGTATGTAATTATTGAATAGAAACACTAAGTTAAATAATATAATAGATTTAGCAAAACAAGCCTAATTTTTCAAACTTCTCTAATAAAGTAATTAGATTAATTTTTTATAGCAAGATTTGTGTTAGGATCACTGTAGAAAACTTAAATATAGAATAACTCAAAAGAACCCAAGTAATATTTTAAAATTAGGGTGCATATTTATATTCATGGTGCAATGTAAGGTGCTGGTTGTCACTTTTAAAGCCCTATATGGCATAGGGCCTAGTATTTGAGATCTGCCTGTCTCCCATTGTTTCTGCTACCCAGTAAGATCTGGTATGGTTAGCTTTCTCCTGGTCCTGTCAATTAATGTCATCTAATAGGACCTAGGAGGCAAGCATTCTCTACTGCAGCATCTCTCACCCCTGAGATTTAGATGCCTTCCACCATTTCCCAAGTCATGGGTTAGGGTGACTTGGGGGTGGGTTCTTTTGTTAAGCCTTCCAGAGTTGCTGGAACTGGATGACCTAGTGATTTTAGATATAAATAAATAATTTCCTTGTCAACTGGCAAGATCAGAAAATGTAATTTACAACTTCTAGAACTGGGGAAAATTAGGTTCAAATTCTTATCCATGTAGATAACTGGTGGATGAAATATAAATAATACACTTCTGTCGTGTACGTCTCCTTATTCAGTTGCTGAAATGTTTGGAAAAAGTTGTTTTTCAATTTCTTCCTATACAGAAATAGGCTTGGGATGTCAGACAAGTGTTTCTAGTAATGGCACCCCTTACATTATGGAACTTTTTTTTAAAAAAAAGTTTGCTAGTTGCTCTTTTTTTGGCTTTGTTTTACTAATCACGAAAACCATGTTTGTTTGATATAATTCCAATAAATTTGTTGAGTTAGTCTAGAAGTTCTTAGAAATTCCTTGGAATATACTTTTGTAAAAATAACTTATGAATGTTAATTACAAATTATGCACCCATCAAGTAATTATGTCCTTATTCTATTAAATCAGGTTGGTCTCCATATTAAAATTCCTTTCATTTCAAAGAAATATCAGTAGAATAATGGATAATTATTTGAATCTCTCTAAATATTATTTAGGCTGTTCTCTTATTAGAGATGTTCTCTTGTTAGAGATGTAAAAGTTATGGCCTCAAAATCCTTTTTTTTATGGCTCTTAGAAATAGAGGTGGAAGAGGCCATTTAGGCGATCAGATCCAATCTCTTGTTCAGCACAGGGATCCAAATTAAAGCATATTTACACCCTTTTCTGACATGGTATCAAATTGTCAAGTATTGTGGGTACAGTTTATTTCAATCTGAAGAATTAAAGGGGTTACATTACAAAAAACTTTTAATGTAAGGCCTAAAATAGGTTTTAAAAAATCATCAATAAAAATCACATCTTCTCCCTACTTACTTTAGCCCTCATTCTCTCCCATCATGTTAAATGTGTCCCAGGCCAACAAAAAACTGTACAATCCTGCTCACGTAACAGGGAAGCACCTCATTCAGATGCTTTGTGCATCTCTAACTGTGCTAATATCCACCATCCCATTGCTATGGCTGATCTGTTTTCTTCTAACTTAGTGAAGTTATTTTATAATCCTGTAAGTAATTGTTTGCTAGCCTCTCTATGAATTCAGCGTCCCAGGCACTGATGACCCAAGAGCATTCAAACTCTTCATGTTGATGTGGAATAAAATGGACCTTAATTCCTATATCTATATCTATTTAATATTTGAGGATGGGCTGCTCGTTCTCACTGCTATAACTTCTAAGCTAGCCATACCTGCTGTTAAAATAAGGATGATATAACGCAGATGTTTTGTGGTAAAAGCCTCTCTTGCTGCTTTTGTTCTGGCATTTCCAGCCAAATGGACTGGACATGTCATCACATTTCTCTTCAGAAAAAAAACCTAATACAATCTGCCCTTTTTTCAATGAGTGTATTCATTAATCACTGATACTATTGCATTTGCATGTTTTAATGGGAAATCTTACTTGCTCCCATGTCCTTTGCTTAAGATTTATGTGTAGGCTAATGAAAGCAATGTTTGTGAAAGCACATAATCAGGCACAAATGGTGTACAGTGACATGCTTTTGCAAGGAGAAACCATTAACAAGATGTGACAGCAGGATGCCATTTTATTCACTAATTATTTATTCCACATCAGCTTCAAGTTTACTGAAGCAGATTTAAACCTCCTAATCAGAGAGATGATTATATACTTGTCCATTGGAACAACTTTGGAAAGAAATGCCATACACTGGTCTAGTTTCTTGCATAAGTCCCACTGAGATATAATGGATATTCTGTCTTTGTCGGTTGTGTTTTTCCATGACCCTACTGACTACAATATTTGTTTACCTAGAACTAAAATGTTCAATCTCTCTCTCTTTCTCTCTCTCTCTCTTTCCTTTTGCTGTTGATTGTAGTAATCTTTACAGTAATTTGGTTTTCTATATGCTTCTGTTTTATCTTAGATTATAAATGGCATTCAGACACTCCAGAACACAATCATGCAAAAAGATAATAGACTCTCCAAAGCAATGATTCATTATGGCTCTTTCCATGTCACCCTCTTAGTGATGCATCTGTCCAGTGAAGAAGCAATTAGCAAGTATGTTTTCATTCTGAAATCCGGTGTTGTTTTAAAATCTATTTTGTTTAGGATAAAACTGGGAAAAGAATGACAATTGAGTGGGAGTAATAGGTGATAGTAGAAACAATTATTTGAACATTAATTATGGCATCAATTATGTACCTGGTAGCATACCACTGATATGTTATTAATATGAATTTCTTCCATAGCACAAGAGGAATTAGCTGTGAATTAATGTTCCCAACACATACTTAGTAACGATGTAGAGTGATAGGCACACCATTAATACATTAGCACTATACATTAGTACACATAAATAAGCAATGCTTAAACTTACTTGGTGGCCTGTGTTATTGTTAATAATTTGGGTTGACAACTTGTGCACAGTTCACGTCACTCTGATCTCAAAAGGGTATCAGAATAGAAAATAGTGAAAAAAAAGAATGACCTGTGAAGGATTTGAAGAGATGGGACAAAAGATAAGTACTCCAATTTAAATATAGGGGCCATTTCTAAAGTAACTTTCCGTTTATCTCGGTCTAGAATTTGTAATTCAAAATGATTTCAGATAATTTGATACGAACACCTTTTGTTTTTACACAAACCAGTTAAAAGTTCATGGACAGGAGAAAAGGGTAGGTTGAAGATTTGAAATCATATATGAGAGAAATTCAGGAAAATAGGTAATTGGACTTTGGAATATTTAATAATAATAAAATTTTCTATAGTGCTTTTACATATATGAGATACTTCACATAATTGTCTTATAATACTGGTATTATCATATCCAATTTGCTAGTAAGAACTTTGAAACTATGTTTTGATGAGTGCATCAAATGAATGCAAGGCAGACACAAACTACATTTGATATTTCCTGTTTTCATACTCAGTTTCTTAGATTTTCTGCAGTCTTCATCAACCTGGTGTTCTTCAGCCATGTTGGGATTACAGCTTCTGACTTTGAAAGGCCAAGCTGGCAGGGGTCCCTATATGCCTGTAGAGTATCAGGTTATAGCAAAATGTCATACATCAGCTGTGACACCAAGGCTGGGCAAAAGAAGTTGCTGTGATTGTGAGATTTTCATGGTGATGAGCATTGTCCAGGAGGTAAATAGTTGTGAGGAGGTGGGCCACGTTGACAAGCTATGTCTGCTGGTACTATACCAACACCTAGCTGCATAGGTGAAATCCTGGACCTCATCTCAGAGTTGAGGTAGACATTCACAATCCTTTTGGTTTTGGGTGTTGTCAGCCTCCCTTGCCCTGAAGAATGGTTCCAGTTTAACTTGTGAGTTAATGGCTTCCATGACAACCATAGACTTGTTATAGAAAATTATGGCCTTGACATATTGAGAGGGGGAGAACGCGTGCTTAATCTGGACTTCATGTCAGAGCAGATAACATGATCTGAAAATGGAGGACATTTAATATCTGTTCTTTGACTGGGTCAGATCATTTCCTTGTCACTGCAGCTCCCAGCATCTCTAGATCTGTGCGGAGGGGCGGGATCCTTTAGATTGGTCTATCCCTGGAACCTAATAGATCCAGAGGGTTTCTGGAGAGCACTTGGGGATTGTTCTGACAATTTGACAGGCAATTCTGTTTCATCTCTGATTGGTCTATGAAATACATAAGTGCCAGCACTTGTTCCTGCAACGCCTCTGCCTAGTCCAGATTCTAAGCAACTCCTTGGTTTACTGATGAGCTGTAGGGAATGAAGTGATATAAAATATGCCTAGACATGGTGAAAACTCAGAAATGGACACAATTAAACACTGAGATGAGCTTGTGTTTGAGACTCCATGGCAGCAGTAACAGCACCAAAGTGTCACTTTTTCTCCACATTTATTGCACTCAGAAATTGCTGCCCAGCTGTTCCATTTAGAGTAACCTGGATTCTTTTGATGAAGGATGGGTGGGACAGGCACATTGGATGAATTTGCGGGTTTCTTGGTAGATATTTAATTTGGACTTCTTTTAAGCTTCTGGAACCAGAGAAAGTGGTAACTGTTCCCTGTAGCCTGAATTCTGCCATCTATGGATTCAGTCTATGTCCTTCTCAGTGCCTTTGGATGATGGTTAAGTGAGGTGTGAGCAAATGATAAGCACCTCTCTGGAGGAGGGCGTCATGCCACCTACTTTAAAGAAGTAATGTGCTCTTGTCTGAAGAAGGCCTCTTTGGAGCCAGTCCTTTTTAATAATGTTCACCCACTTTCCAACCTTGGTTGAGAAGGTGGTGCCAAATCAGCTTCAGCGTGAATGAAACAGATTATCCAGATTCTTTTCAGTCAGAATTTAGGCCTGATTATGGGACAGAAATGACATAGGTTGCTCTTTACCTTTGTCTATTTCAAACTAGATCTTAATTTTCTAGTGAGTATATACTTACGTTGATGGCACCACTGAACTCCACTTACATGCTTTTCATACATTGCGGCCCTTGGCTGTGAGCCTTATGAATTTTGACCAGAAAAAAAAAGTTAAACTGTTTTGGGAACTTTGTGTTCAGCTCTGACTTCTTCACAAAGCAGCTAATGGCTTGAGTTTAGTAAAAATAAATCTTGTGGTAAATGGGAAGATATAATGAGTCTGTGGCTGAACCTCTCAACATAACTGTGCTAAAAGCCAAAACATTTCCATTTTACTTGCTTCCAGTAATTTTAGCTGTGATCTTAAATCCTAAAGTTAGCAGATGTTGAATACACTTGATCTGCAGCAAAATTCACTTTTAACATAGCTTTAAGTTAATGAAAAAAGTACTGAAGTTTCCTTTCTGACATATGCAGTCTCTTAAATGTTATATTTTATTTAAGGATTTATAAAAAACATGCCCTGCTTATAAAATCTTGTTTTGCCACATCCACTGGCTTTTCTTTTCTTTTTCTCCCTTCTTCCTTTTCCTGCAGTTTCTTTGTCTTCACATAATTCAGTTTATGTTAGTGCACTCATTATTTCTGAATGCTTCTTCAGTGCCAACATTATCTAGCAGTAGAAGTGAAATATGGAAATTACCACTTAAAAACTATTGAATATGAAGTTTCAGCCTTCACTAATTAAAAGTGGGATCATATGGAAGCATGTCTTCTCCTTCAGTCTATGCCTCAGCATACCATCAGTTACTGAAAACCAGTCTAGAAGCTGAAATACAGATAGTCCTTGACTTATGATGGTAATTGAGACTGGAACTTCCATTGCTAAACAATGCAGTTGCAAAGCGCGACATCATGTGACCACATTCCTTAGCAATGGCAATCCTGGCAATCCCCATTGCCAACGTTAATCAAATTCCACCTGTTGTTAGCCGAGGACCCACCCCAATCCAAGACATTCCAGGCTTGGTCCCTCCAGCCCTGGCCTAAGTAAGGTAAGGGACTGCCTCCTCTTCAACTCCCTCTACCTGCCTATCTCTCTCCCATCTCTGCCCTTTTGGTTTCTCTGCACCCTGCCTTGTGGGATGGCAAGCAACCCCAGAACTGCACAGCTCTGGGGCTGCTTGCCACACTGCAGCTCAGTGCAAAGCTGCAGCTGCCCCTGACAACCTCAGCTGCCCCAGCCTAGCCCAGTAGCATGGTGTGAAGCCACAGCGCCCCAGGAAGCCCCAGCCACCTCAGCAGTGTGGCACAAAGCCTCACCCACCCCTGGAAGCCCTAGCAGCACAGCATGAAGCCACAGTGCCCTGGAAAGCCCCAGCAGCATGGCATGAAGCTGCAGTGCCCTGGGAAGCCCCAGCAATGTGGCGCGAAGCTGTAGGTCCCCAGGAAGCTGCAGTCGCCCTTGCCACCCAGCATTTTGAGGTCCCTTCTGCCCTGCACTCCACCACCCCAGCTGACCTTCACCATCATCTTGTTCCCACTGCTGACGAAGCGTGCCTGCCCTGGTCCTTCGCAAGGCAGTTGCTGGCCACATAAGGCCATCTTCTCCAGGCCTTGCAAGGAAACCGCTGTGTATGACCTGGGAAGAAAGCCTCATGCAGCCAGCAGTTGCCTCCTGAAGGGCCAGGCCAGGCCAGGCATGCTTGGTCAGCAGCGGGAGCAAGAAGACAGCGAAGGTCAGCTAGGGTGGCAGGGGCTGTGGACTGCAGGGAGCTAAAAGGGCAAAGATGGGGGGGAGATGGGGGAGGGGGGAGTTCAAGCACCCCTGCGATCATAGTGCGGGCGGGCTGCCCAGTGTCTGAATTTTGATCATATGACCGCAGGGGCAGTGCAATGGCTGTAACATCGGGGACTGATCGTAAGTCCCTTTGTTCAGCTCCACTGTAGCTTTGAACAGTTGCTGAACAAATGGTCATAAGTTGAGGACTACCAGTATGGCATTGCTTCTGGAAATAGTTAGGTTCAGTCTATGGTATATCTCCAATGGAAATGAAACCTGAGTTTATGAGTTTATTGTTAAAATGTCTCTCTGAGTGTCCTTACTGTCTGAAATTGGCAGAATAATTCCTTTGCACATGCCCAAATATGAATGGTATGTTTTCCATTTAGTTTATCTTGGTCAAATATTCTTCTAGCCTTTTTTTCTCTACCATCAAACTAAAAAGATCTTCCATCTCTTAATGTGACAGCACCTTTTCTCTATGCCCCATATCTTTATTTTGATAACCATCCAGTTTTATGAAAGAACAGTGGCCTTAGTCTCCTTTAATGCTCACAATCTCCCTGAGATGTTTGTATAGCTGTTACTGACATAATTACCTTATTTTTCCCAGCAGTCACTGAAAGGTTATCTAAATATCTTGCTATCTTTGCACCAGTGGGATGTAACAGTATCATCTTGCTAGTTACGTTTTCTGTAATTGATTCATTCCACGAAAAGTTCAGATGTCCAGCCAGCTCATCTTCTGTCTTTTGTGAGGTTATCCTTATCTGGGAGGAACCTATCTGCTGCAAACACTTATTTCTTGTGGCCTCGACCTTGCATTATCTTAGCAGTAGCATCTCCAAGAAGTATATTATATACACTTTAATTATAATAGGAGTTCAGGGTCACAGTTTGCTTGTTTGTTAAACCTAACATGAAGT